TGCAATGCTCGTGTTCAAGCCACGCTTGCAACGCTCGGCTTTGAGCTGTGCCCGCAGCGCTTGTTTCCGAGTCACTCCTGCCCTGCTCGTTTTCGAGCCATGCTTGTAATTACTGTTTTCGAGTCATGCTGGCAACGCTCATTCCTGAGCCGTGCTGCAACGCTCGGTCCGGAGCCGTGCTTGCAATGCTCGTTCTCGAGCCGTGCTTGCAGTAACCGTTTTCAAGCTGTGCTCGGCTTCGAGCCGTGCTGGCAACACTCGGCTTCGAGCTGCGCCTGCAATGCTCTTTTTTGAGCTGTGCTTGCAGTTATCATTTTCAAGCCGTGCTTGCAATTATTGTTTTTGAGCCGTGCTTGCAATGCCCTTTTTCAAGCCACGCTTGCAATTATTGCTTCTGAACTGTGCTTGCAATTATCATTTTCAAGTTAAGCTTGCAATTACCGTTTTAGAGCAGTGCTTGCAATTATCATTTTTGAGTCACGCTTGCAATGCTCGTTTTCGAGCCATGCTTGCAATTATTGGTTCTGACCTGTGCTTGCATTTATCATTTTCAAGCCATGCTTGCAATTATCGCTTTTGAGCCGTGCTTGCAACGCTCGTTTTCGAGCCATGCACACGGTTATCATCTTCCAGCCGTGCTCGCGATGCTCGGCTTCGAGCTGTGCCCGCAACGCTCGTTTTCAATCCGTGCGATGCCCCAAAAGCTTGCAGAAAGCTCGCGGCCTTCGGCAGACCCCGAGCCCCGGCGCCCTCGCAGCCCTCTCCCTTCTCCTTGCAGCCACGGCCAAAGCGCCCGACGTCTACGCGCTCAAGCCCTGCGGCTGCGACGAGGGAAACGTCACCGTGGCCTGCCTCGTGAACGACTTCTTCCCCGAGACCGCCACCGTCACCTGGGTTTCCAGCGAGCCCTACGAGGTCTTGACCTACCCGGCCGTGGTGGTCAGCAACAGCCTGTACAGCCTCAGCAGCCAGCTCACGACGCCCACCAGCAACCTGCAGGGCAACGCCATCCAGTGCAACGTGAACCACAGCCCCACAAGCACGGAAATCTCCAAGAACATCGGAGGTGAGAAAGGCAAAGGGGAACTGGGTTGCTCCCAGCATTGCATGACGTCTTGGTTGACTCCTAAATGGGCTAGAGCTGCTCCTGGCCTTGCTCCCGGCAATGCACGAGGTCTTGGTCATTTCCTAGAGGTGCTGGGGTAGCTCCTGGCCTTGCTCCCGGCAATGCACGAGGTCTTGGTCATTTCCTAGAGGTGCTGGGGTAGCTCCTGGCCTTGCTCCCGGCATTGCACGAGGTCTTGGTCATTTCCTAGAGGTATTTCCTTGTTTTTTCTGCAGACTTATGCAGCAACACGAGGTCTTGGTGTCATTTCCTAGAGGTGCTGGGGTAGCTCCTGGCCTTGCTCCCGGCATTGCACGAGGTCTTGGTCATTTCCTAGAGGTGCTGGGGTAGCTCCTGGCCTTGCTCCCGGCATTGCACGAGGTCTTGGTCATTTCCTAGAGGTGCTGGGGTAGCTCCTGGCCTTGCTCCCGGCATTGCACGAGGTCTTGGTCATTTCCTAGAGGTGCTGGGGTAGCTCCTGGCCTTGCTCCCGGCATTGCACGAGGTCTTGGTCATTTCCTAGAGGTGCTGGGGTAGCTCCTGGCCTTGCTCCCGGCATTGCACGAGGTCTTGGTCATTTCCTAGAGGTGCTGGGGTAGCTCCTGGCCTTGCTCCCGGCATTGCACGAGGTCTTGGTCATTTCCTAGAGGTGCTGGGGTAGCTCCTGGCCTTGCTCCCGGCATTGCACGAGGTCTTGGTCATTTCCTAGAGGTGCTGGGGTAGCTCCTGGCCTTGCTCCCGGCATTGCACGAGGTCTTGGTCATTTCCTAGAGGTGCTGGGGTAGCTCCTGGCCTTGCTCCCGGCATTGCACGAGGTCTTGGTCATTTCCTAGAGGTGCTGGGGTAGCTCCTGGCCTTGCTCCCGGCATTGCACGAGGTCTTGGTCATTTCCTAGAGGTGCTGGGGTAGCTCCTGGCCTTGCTCCCGGCATTGCACGAGGTCTTGGTCATTTCCTAGAGGTGCTGGGGTAGCTCCTGGCCTTGCTCCCGGCATTGCACGAGGTCTTGGTCATTTCCTAGAGGTGCTGGGGTAGCTCCTGGCCTTGCTCCCGGCATTGCACGAGGTCTTGGTTGATCACTACAGTTATTTCCTTGTTTTTTCTGCAGACTTATGCAGCAACCCACAGGTAAAAATCCTGAGCTTTTCAGAGAATAATGATGAGGTCCTGCTGCTCTGCCTCATCGAGGGACTCCCAGACGGCCCGGCCACAGTGGAATGGCTGAAGAACCGAGAGGTGGTGACGCTGCCCCAGGTGGACTACAGCTGCGACAAGTGCTCCAACAACCAGGCCGTGCAGTCGAGTCAGGTCAACGTCAGCCGACAAAGCTGGGACCGGGGCTCCGAGTTCGCTTGCCGAGTGTCCCACGCGTCGCTGACGGAGCCGATCATGCGCACCATCAGCAACTCCTGCCCAGGTGAGGGTCCGAGGTGGGGAACGCGGCCCTGGCATGGTGCAACGGGGAGGTCGTGGTTTGCTAGCGGTCACGAATGGATGCAAGGATGGATGAGTGGGAGCATGCATTGACTGCATGGATGGATGGACGGATGGATGGACGGACAGATGGATGGATGGGTTGGTGGATGGATGGATGGA